ATTCATTTTTCTTTTTCTACCCTACCCTTTTCCTGTATTTCTTCCCCCCACCCACAATAATCCCCCCCCAAAGACTACAGAATTTGAAGTCACATTCTACCTACAGAAGTTCTGTTATCTCAAAAATTTCAAAGATATGAGCACATGATATGTATTTATGTAAAAACTGGACCCAACTATAGAGTTGGTGATCTGCTTTTCCACTCTACACACAAACATTTTCCCATGTCATTAAGCCTTTCATTATTTTTTTAAGATTTATGTATTTATGCATACAGAACTGGGGTACAGGCCAGAGGTGCAGGGGTGTTGAGAGGATTCACCAGAGACAGAGTGGGGAGCAGAACAGGCCGACTGATAAAGTGCACTGCTGAGGGGAGCAGTGGGCGGGCCAGAAGTCTGCCATGTGGATCACCTCTGGGGTAGTCAGGGATCGAACTCATGCTGAGGTGGCTTTAGATTCTTAGTGCTGTGCTTTATAACCCTCTGTGCCACCAGGGAGAGCCCAAGCCTTTCATTATTCTTAAAAGCCAAATGAGGAGAATTTTGGCAAAAGAGCAGACTGAGCTGAAGTGGACCCATATCTTATTGTTAAAAAAACATCTCAGAGGCCTCCCTGGTGGTGCAGGGGTTAATGTCTCAGTGCTATCAAGCTATAGCCAGCCACTTTGGCCTAATTTTGATTCCAGGCCAGGGAGGTGACTCACATATAGCGCAACAGACCTCTCCTGTCTTGCTGCTGCACCCCTCAGCAGTGTGTTTCAGTAGATCTGCCTGTTCTGCTCCCCACTCTGTCTCTGGGGAATCCTCTCACCCCAGCACCTCTGGCCTGTACCCCAGTTCTTCTATACAAAAATAATTAAAATAAAAATCTTTTAAAAAAGAAAATAAAAATATGTAGGAATGCAAAATAAAATGCAATACCCCTCCAAGATGTTAATACTTAGCTTGAAAGGAAGATTCCAAGGGGCATAAGGAGAGAAACAATCAGGACCAGAGTTAGGATGACTGTCCCAGGCTAAACACAGAAAATCCTGCATCCAGAAAACCCCTCAGTCCTGAGCAACCAGGACAGTGTCTTCCTTTCCCAGAGGAGTTAAGGGGAAACCGCAGGCCAGGTAAAGATTCTGGGGGCCAGATGAACGCTCCATTCTCAACTGTTTATCAATTGAGAACTGTCCCAACTGTTTATCAATTCTCTCAGGTTCCCTGGATAAGTTATATTGTATGCAAATAACAGAATTTGGCTCTGTTAATCTTTACAAGTAATCTCTTTCTGTTCGCCAAGATCCTCTAGTACCTCTAGTACCATTGCCAGCAGTGAGGTTACTGGCAATTATCATTGCCTTAAAGGAAGTCTAATTTTTCTCCATTAGGTATGTTTATTTTAGTTTAATTTTATAAGGTTATGGAAGTCCGCTTCTATTCCTAGTTTGCTAAGATTTTCTATATTGATTATGCTGATATTTATTAATTGCTTTCATCTGCATGAATAGAATTATATTCTCCTTCATCCCATGAATAGAATTATATTCTTATGCCTTTCAGAACTGAACATCCTACATTCCTACTTGGCACATTGTTATATCAGTCAACACACACACAAACACGTAGGATTTTTGTGTATATATAGATGTCCTTAAGTTAAATTGGCCTCTAATATTCTTTTCTTGCACCTCTGATCGCAGATGTACAACATACTAATTTCATAAAATGGTGAGCATTTTTCCCTCTTCTACTTTCTGGAACAACTTACATGATTTATGTTAGATGCAGTATAAGTTATCTGTTCTTAAAATTTCATTCCTATCCACTGGAAAAAGGGGGGGGGGAGATCTGAGAGGAAAGCAGAAAGTGTACCTAGAAGTCTTCACCCCCAACTGTGGGTCCTGGCCTTCCCCCGCATTTCGTCTCCGAGGCTGCCACTATCCAAAAGTCTCATAGATTTTCAGTTGTTAAGTCTGACACCTATTTCCTGTACCTTCCCTCTCTCTTCTGGGGTGGGAAGAGGTAGAGTGGGGGAGAGATTAGTATTCCGTAACTTGCTTTGCCATACAAGCCATGTGTAACTGTCCCTACAAGCTGGTTTCAGGGGTCTGCAGCCCCACATGGCCTGGTCTTAGAGGCCCCTGTGCTTGGTTTAAAGTTCTGTCTCCACCTCGCAATTCTTAATAATCTTGAACATGGACTGCCAGGTTTTGATTTTGCACTCAAACCTAGACTTTATACAACCAGGCTTACTGTTCCTCAGTATCTTTCCATTTGAGTTTCACCCCTGCATGAGATCTGGGACAGGCAACAGCTAACCTGGAATGGCCCACATATTACAGCTTGATCTCAGGCTTGACATCCTGTAACCCATAGTTTGGTTAATCAGTCTTTCTAGTTTCCCTGCCCTGGCCAGGAAAAGGTATGTATGGCTTAGACTATAAACAAACAAAAACAGTCTGTAATTGTTTAACTGTCACTTGTATTCACCCTTTCTCTCAACATGGTATAGGGATCTCTGTGGACTCTGCAACTTACCTTCCAACCCATTAGACAAAAAACAATCACAGCTTTTCTTCTATTGCTTGTGAAGCTAAATCATTCTATGCTGTTCTTCAAGGACTGAAGCACTTTTGCTTAAACATCAATCTTATATTTTAAAGTATTTCTTTCCTTATTGAGTTGTCTTACATTTCTTCCCAGACAACTTTTTAGTTGTTCTTTCATTTAGTTTTTCCCTGATTCAGCTCCTAAAATCTAGAGGAACAATGTAAGATTCTTGGGGAGGAGTGCTAGGAAACAAACACTTGCAGACACAGAGAACAGACTGCCGTTGGGGAGGAAGAGTGAGTGAGTGTTGGGTGTCAGGAGGTACAAACTCCCAGTTATAAGAGTGACTTGTGAGGGCGGAGCATACAGCCTGGGGGTGCCCGTCAATCACATTGCTCTGGTTTTTTGATGGTTGCCGTGAGAGCTAGCGAGTTGTAGACTGACTGTAGTGACCGTTTTGCATTGTATTCAAACATTTCATCATGCTGCACACTTGAAACTAACACAATGCTGTTACGTGTTATGTGTTTTTAAAAAACAACCCCTTGTTTACTGAACTCTTAAGCCTACCCACTGTACAGTTTGACTTGCTTTCTAAGAGTTCAGTTCACCTTCAAAGTGTCTGTTGGTCACAGCAAAAGTGAAAGTACCATAAAAAACATGTTGCTAATTCAGTCCAACAGATATTTTATTTGTGAAATACCTACTTGATGCCAAACACTGTCCCAGGGACCTGAATGAATGCATCATTGAAAAATATAGAGAAACCCCTGCATTAGGAGAGCTTCTATTCTGACAGGGGAAGGCAAATAATAAAGAATAAGCCTAACAAATAACCAAATTATAGTATGCTCACAGGTGACAAATGCTATGAACAAAACAGAGCAAGGAGCCAGGACCTGAGGTGGGGTGGCAGGGCTCGGCACCTCGGCCTTTCCACACAAGGTTCCTCTACTAGCCTATCTCAAAACAACTCTTCCCCCACCTGTACCGCTAGTCACCACTCTGTCTTTCCTCTGATGGCCTTTCAGCCCGAACTTCAACCAGTTGACCTCACATTCTGCTTTCTCTCTCTCACTCTCCCAACCCCTCTGCAATCAAAGTGGTCTAGTTTCTTGCTCCTGCCTCTTCACGGAAAGAGCTATTGCCAAACCAAAATGACCAATGGCTTCCCTGTTGCCAAGTCCAGTGGAAATGAACTAGAATTGTGAAACACCCTTTTCCTTGAAAGAAGCCTTCCCGTTTGCATGTCCTATACAGTAAGTCCTTAATGCCACCAAGAGGTCCTAACAACTTTAAAAGGAAGGCTGTATAGTAAAGGCCTATCCTCTAGTAACATAATTTTGTCAGCCACCCAACATCAGCTGGGATGGCTTTTTGCCTCATTAACATTATAATAAAACAATGTTACTTAAGAACCTGCTCGACTGTTCTTCCTGCTTATCCTCATACTTCTCCACCTCCACCAGCAGTTTCTGATCATCCATTAAAGCCTTGTGTTCTTCTGCATACTGTATCAGTTCCTTTTTCTGGTTGAAATAATCATTCACTGTGACTTCAATTAAATTCTAGTTATTGGTGAGTCCTCAGCTTTTATACACAGCAGACCATTCTCCTGAGCTCCAGAATCATTTCTCTGACTGACCGCTGGTCATCTGCAGCTGGATGGCCCACAGGCCCCTCAAGCATTCGTATCCAGAAATGGCTCACCTCCCCTACCACACCTGTCCTTTATATTCTCCCTTCACCCCCCATTCCTTCCCATGAACACATTAATCACCAAATCCGCCTAATGCTGCACGTTACACAGCTCTCAAATCTATTTACTTGTATCCACGGTGCTGTGACCTCAGGCCGGACACCATATTTGTTCACCCATATGAATAAACAAACAGTCCCATAACTGATTCCCTGATTAGTGCAGCTCCCTTCCAATTCTCCCTACACTAATCGGAGTGATCTCCAGGGACTCAGATCCAACTAGGTCATGCTGAAAGGTGTTCATTTAGTTCCCTTCTCTCTACAGGGAGAAGAATCCACCCACTCCACTATTTTATGTGGGCTCCAAAGTCTTTCAGACCTAACATCTACGTTGGTGTCTGAGCTACGTGCAGCACCCCAAGCACCCACACACTTAGGCCTCCATTCCAAGAGGCTCCTCCTGCTTCACAGTGACGGCATGGCACATGCCTGCTAATCTTTCTTACCTTTCAAAATATGTCACTTTCTGAAATCTGAGCTGGGTGTTCCTGGTATCTGCTCCCATAGAACGTAACACTCCTGTCACAATCCTGTCAACACTTCTTTTTTTAACTGTATTTTTTGAACGTTCACAGCACTGTTATATGATTTAGGGGTGCAGGTTCACACCACTCCAGATGTGTCACCACACCTCACCTACCACCAAAGTCCCCACAATCCACCCCCATTCTACTGGCCCCTCCTCTGTCATCACCTCTTACCTGACTTCCTCCCCAGCTATACTGTGAGCTCCAGGAAGAAAGAACAAGTCTACCTTGATCATGACCGTGACCCCAGCAAACAGAATACATGGTTCCATCAGCTCTTGTTCAATGAATAAACAAACAGCCAAGATAAACTTAAGCTCCACACCTTTCAAAAAGGAACATGAATCATTGAAAAAGATAGACACTTTTTCTAAAATATAATCAGCGTAGGGCCCTCCCTGGTGGCACACAGGGTATGGGGCTGTCCACAGCACTGCAGCACAGGTTAACTTGCTGGCCCCCGAGGGGCCCACATGGCACAGCAGACCTCTCCTGACCCGCCCACTGCTCCCTCAGCAGTGTGCTTTGGTCGATCCACCTGTTCTGCTCCCCACTCTGTCTCTGGTGAAGCCTCTCACCTCACCACCCCGTGCCTCTGGCCTGTACCCCAGTTCATATGTATATAAATAAATAATCTTTTAAAAGATAATCAACATAACTAATTTATATATGTCACAGGACACTATTTTCTCTAAATGTAAAGAAAATACAATATAGCAAGCGCTCACCTCTGAGTAGGGGGATATGGCTGATTTTTTGTTGTTGTTCAATCTATCCTTAGTCACCAGATTTTCTATAATGAATGTATCCTGAATTTTATGGTGGAAAGAAATGTGAAGAACTATAAAATTAAAGAACTTGACTATAAAATATGTATACCACTTGCCTCAAAATAAGCATACTAAATATGATCACTGCAATTTCCCCCACTTTGTTGGGGGAAATGAAATATCTGCCTTGTAGAACCAATAGACACGATGTTGATAATGCAACCCAGATTGCAAAAATCACATGGCTATTTAGCACCTGAAATGTCAGTAGTGTTTTTCCATGAATTTTAAAATTCCACAGAAACTATTTTGAAATGAAAAGGCCGGATTCTGGTTTGATGCAGAAAAACAGAAACATTTATTTTATATTTGGAAGTAAATATGAGTGTGAGGACCAGCATTAGTTCTTCTAAAATGTACCATCAGATGTATTGCTGGGACATTTTCCTCTGGCATATGGTCATCTTAGCGGTGAAATAATGCTACAGACAAAAGTAAAGTAGGATTAAGCAACTTGAAAGGACCCATGTGTCATGCTTGCTGATAAAGAGAAAGGACTGTAACAGATACTCTCTCCACACTGAATATGTTGCTGAGCTCTGTATTTTCCAAGTATTATGTAGTCAGTGACTCACATATTTTGCAGTGTATTATCTTACATTACTGTGTGAGGCACACACACAAAATACACTATAGCAAATATATCATTATAGCAACAACCCTGAATATCAAAGTTAACTGCTATGCCTCAGAGAAAGGCCCACAGAAATCAAGTTTTGTTAGTCTAGTTATACTGGTCTACATGTGTATATGTGCACACACATATCACAACGAACATACACAAAGTAATATAGGTATGCATAATGATACACATGTATGATAACTATTACACAAGCTAGTGTATAACCTTGTATAAATAAAACATCACAAGCATACATATACTACTTTGTATAAGGATTTTCTTTTGTTTCTCTTTAGATAAGTCACTTAACACCTTAACTTTAAGTAACACATTACAGTTTTCAAAGCATTTTTTTATACATAATATTGTTCAAGCCACACACACAGTTTCAGCTGACTATATCAAGGAGAGGTATTGAGCCACTTGCCTTTCCATGGAAACACCGACTCTCCAGACTCCCACTCCAGTAAGGATTCTACTCCCTGACAAGGACACCGTTTGCCCATCAACTGTTTATTCCTTTTGGCCCTTCACAATTATTTGGGGAGGAGACCAAGGCCAACACTAAGAGATGTAAGTTTGCACAAGTGAAACTCAGTCAGTCCATGACAAATGATTCAGGGATTCCCTCTCTCAGCCTATTCTAATACTGCGCTGTGAGTTTGAAGGCAGGTGGCTGAAAGTAACGGCCGGGGCCCAGGATCAACCCCAGAACCGTCAGACTCCTGAGCCATGGTTCTACCCTGAACAGCTAGTGTGTGCAACACACACGGCGGGTTCTAGCCATTACCGCCTAGCATCAGACCTGGAATGGGAGGGTTCCACTTCTCTGCTTCCCCTGGAGGGCAAAACCAGGTATACCAACCAAGTGACGAGGCACTCAAGCAACTCAGCATTTCTTGTCCACAGTCCTACCATCCGAAGAGTTAATATGATTTTAGAAGCTGATACTAGTGTGATTCAAATATTTGCGGAGCAAGAAATAAACATCAGCTGAACGAAGGTGATACGAAAGAAGAATCAGATATGAAACCTCAACTTTATATCCTACTGTGAATTACCTCTCCTTTCGTCCTCCACTTCATCACCAAGTGCCTCCTCATCTTCCACTGCTGGCCTTGACACCTCAGTACCCTTCTTAGGTTTGATTCGTTGTTTCTTCAAACCCTTCACCATCTTGTTGACTTTCTTTCGCAAAGGATTGGCCCATTTGCTATAATAATAAACGTGCAACATGAAATCCTGTTTCTCAACAGTGACAGGACAACAACAATGGAGGGGATTATGAGGAAAAGGCTAGCATCCCACATGACTCTTCACACATTCCCTATCTCTTACTGCCCTCCAAGCTTGGAAATAACGTCAGGCTACAACCTTGCTCTGCAACTCTATACTTCAGAACCTGGTACCCAGTGGGGGGTGGGGGAGGGTCCCAGAACTCTAGTTGATTGTTATGTTTATGGATTCTCATTTTCTAAAGACCTAGACATAAACCAAGGAGAAAAAAAGAGGAATATTCAAGGCGGAGGTAGGGTTGGAGACCCAAAAGAGAACAAAGATTCTCATAAAAACAGCGAAGAGGTAAACAACAGGTGCACAGTCCCACCCTCAGCTAAGTGATGCCTAGAAGAGGACTCCGGGCTGCAGCAGTGCTCTTAGCTCTGCACAGCAGCCAGGTCCTGAGCTTCTGGAGCCCAGAGACAGATAAGTCTGTCTTTGAAATGATGACTTTGAAGGTAATACTCACTCTTCCCCCCTAAAACTACATTACTGGGTTGTCACTGAGTTCCACTAGGTAAGACAGATGTGTGGTATATAAATGCCCTTTTCCCAATTAATCATAAAAAAGTCTGCAGGTATAAATGAAATAGTGGGTGAAGGTCAAAAATGCATTTCTATGATTTACCTATGGTTGCTTTACAGTGCAGTGCTTTTAAGTACAGTCTCAAAACCAATAATAACTAAAGGAACTATATAATTTCCAGTTCCGTGGGGCCAGATGTGCTTCAGAATGTGGAATACTTTGGTTTTAGAAAGATGAAATGGCGAGAGTATGCATGGCACTCCCATGGAGCTGGGGAGCATCTCAGGATCAAACTCAGTAATACTGCTGCGGCAAGAAACATGAAGATTCACTCCAAGCATTAAATCATGACTAGAAAATGTCTCAGGTAAGGTCAGATCAAGTTTTGGTGCCAGGTGAGTTCAGACAAAAAGCTTTAGGTTTGAAACATGTTCTGAATTTGAGAATTTTACATAAGGAATTGAGGACATGCTTTTCTCCTAATGCTGTGACTTCAAGATATCTTACTTCACACAACTTCAATCGCTATACTTGCTTAATGCATAGGTTTCATTTCAAATTTAGTGGTGTGTCCATTTCACTGGCCTGTTACCTAAAAGGCCACTGCACAGGTCTGGGTTACGGAGGACTCGGTTTTGGGCTCAGCCTTCCAGCATGCAAATACTGCCGAGATCCCAAGTTAGGTATTCTACCCAATGTGGGTATCTAAGGGGGAAGAAGGGGAATAAGGACACCTCTAGTGTCCTAGAGATGATTTTGTCCTTTTCATATAAAATGTTACATGTTGTGGCCAACATACTCAGCCTTGAAAAGTTCAGGTCATCTTTTCCCACACACAGTCAATACTGACTGAAGCATCTGTGTACTTACAGCAGAAAGACTAGATACATACTAGAGACATCAAGATGAGAAAGACACAGGACCTGCCTTCAAGGAGCTTACACTTTAGAAAGGGAGGCACCTATGAAGGCAATTTATTTAATGCAAGTAGAGATAAGCAGGGATTGGTAGAAGAACAGGAAGAAGCCTGATCCCATCTGGGCAGACGGTTTGGGAGAAGTTTCCTGGAGGAGGGAAGAGCTAAACTGAGGCCCACCCCTGAGTGGCGTGGGGCAGACAGAGAGTGGAGGCAGGAGACATGGAACAGCATTTCAATCAACAGGTAAGCAATGTTCAGAGAGGCAGGGAAGCTTGACACTGCCTCCTCACATAAGTAACAATATGGTGTGACAAAGAAAACTGACAACAGGAACAGGGACATCACGTGTTAGAAGTGCAGAAGAAAGAAGTTCTGAGAATAGAGAAAACATGGGATCTGCAGCACTTGTAAAGCGCCTCCCGGAAGAGTTGGAGCAGCTTCCAGATGAAGGGGAGAAATAAAGCGAAGAGGACAGAGTAGAGAGAAGCTCCAAGCTCTGGGCAATTCGGGCAACAGAACAGTTGCAAATGAGCTATAGCATATGCCCAGGAAAGTGAAGCTACCTCCCTGGCTACGGCAAGAGACACATGGGGTGTTCTAAGAAAAATGGCTGCGGTCACAGGAGCCTGTGTGGCTGACTCGAGAGCACAGCCCTTGGAGAGAACTGAAGCAACCAGATTCAGTGCATTTTTACCCATGTTCTTTTCTTCCCAATTCCTATAGCACAAAAAGCAAAAAAAAAGACTGAATCCTTGCTCTACCACTATATAATTTTGAGCATGAAACCAAACCCCCCTATAACTCTGTTTTGAAGGTCAAATTGACAACGTGTGAAAATGCCGTGTGCACTGGCCAAGACAGCCATGCTACGTGGTCTGAGCTGCACTTTCTTACTGGAATGTGGCTTCCTGCTGTGGCTACCTGCACACACCCCTGCTAGAGCATGCATGCCTTGGGGACAGGGGCCTGATCTGATTCAGCTCTGTCTCTCATGGCACCTAACAGAGGCCTAGGAGCCAGACATTCTTGAGTGCATTAGAAGTTCCTGAAGGATACAAGGGAATGAAGCAGTGCTATTTTAGGAAGCTAAGTCTGGCAGGACTTTACAGGATGAGCATGAAGGAGAGAGATTAGGAGTCAAGGCACGTGTGTAAGCTGGCTTGCAAGCATCCTTCTTCTCTCTCCTTGCCTGAGGGCATAGCTGTATACCCCTATTAGAGTGCCAGGGACCATCTCCAGGACTCACTCCTTGCCATCTTATAAATGCCACCTGCAGCCCATCGCAGTCGTTAGCTCTCCCTCAAGAGCTCCTCAGGCTGGACATCTCGTTACAGTGCCCCAGCGCTCAGCCCTGCCCTTGCCCTTGTATGCGAGCTAGCCTTGTGCTACGCGGTGGATGCTTACGGCCCTCAAATCTGCAGGTTGCAGCCTTTTCATTCCCAGTTTGGCTGTAATTGGAAATGAGGCCTCCAAGGAAGTAATTAAGGTCAACTGAGGTCATGAGAGAGGGGCCCTGATCTAGCCAAATTTGTGCTATAAAAAGATACCCCAGAAAGTGTGTTTAGTCCCTCTCACCCCACCCCTGCACGCACCCAGGAAAGGCAATGAGAGCACAGTGAAAGTGGCCACCTGCAAGCCGGAGGCGAAACAGAACAGAAACCGAGCTGGCACCTTGGTCACAGACACCCAAGCTCCAGACTGTGAACAAGTAAGCGTCTGTGCCCCCTCCGTGCTGGATTCCATTGCAGTGGCCATAGAAGACCGGCGGACTCGCGGTGGTTCCCTTTGCTCCTCTACTGCAACTGCCGGCCCAAGACAAGGCCCGAACTAAGATGTGCCAATAAAATGGGAGAAGGAGCAACTCCCAACTGGCGCCAGGAGAAAGCCAGCTGGCAGGGAGACTAGCGTTGGTTCTATGGTGATGACAAAGGAAACAGTCCTCGGTGACTCCCAGGCTTCTAGCCCGGGAGACTAAAGAAATCAGTGACAAAAATGGACAGGAGGCACGACGAGATGATTTGGGAGAAAAAGAAGGTAAGACCACTTGTGCACATGTGACTTTAAGGCACTATCCCAACATCTAATTCAGGAGCATGGTTGGAAATAAGGAACAGGTGGAGGTGAGGCTCTCAGGATTAGATCTGAGAGTAAGGCTGTGGCAAACAACCACGGGGGAACAAAGAACAGCACACCCACAAGCACCAGAACAACTGGGAACAACGAAATCTGAGGCAGGGAGCGATCAACAGTACTCTGTGAGCAAAAGGTCACACTGGATGGGGACTGAGAAAAGGCCGCTGTATTTGGCAATGAGGCTATTAGTTACTTGGCAACACATGACTCTTTCAACAGAACCTAGGTGTCCAGAATTCTCTAAAATGCCGCCCTCGGTGTCCTTGCAGTGAAACACCTCAGATATATAATCCGCACATAATGAGGTTCCCTCATTATTCCAGTAACTCAACTACCTTGAGCAGGGCCCAAGGAGAACTGGCTTCATGCAAACCGCACGTCTGTGATGACTCAGGCCGGAGCAGGGTCCCCGGTGCTCAGACCCTCATCTGCTCAGATTGTATCAGAGTTCTGAGAGCCCAGCCAGGTTTTGAGAATTTACAGACTTTATTTCTGTTCTCTGAATTCATTGTACATAATCCTAGGAACTTAAACCTTTCAGCAGTTGTCTAATGACTGCATAAAGCTTTTCAAAATAACAGCTCTATGTTGTGCAGTATTGTAAAACACACGTGGGGGTTGGAAAGTGCAAATGAGTGTTTGAAAAACTCAATGGGTGGTGATTTTGGGGCAATTTTTGACACATTTACCCCAGTTATTTACCTCCCATTCTAGGCAAGTAAGTGGTATGAAGACTATCTGCGCAATGAAAAGTGGATTATAACACAGGAGATTCATGCCGCGGGATTCGTCTAGATAGAGAACCATGCACAAGCAGCCATCTGGTGAGCAGCTGCAGTGTATGGAGGATGGAGACGTGCTATTTCCATCACCTGGGTATCAGATGATCCACAGTCACCTAAAAACGGCCTTTTTATTTGTTGAAAGCAAACATAGCTTGTCATTTTCAGACTGAGTTCTGAATTCTTAATTCAAAGTTGCAAACGCAACCTGACAGGAAGAGAGAGAACATAACAATGCACTTGGAGCGCTTTAAGGCGTGGCGTTAGGACATCTCCACTCTCCGCCCTAGTGCAGTGGGTGCACACTCTAGAGGCGCCTCACCTAGACACCTATGTTTCACTGGAGGATGCAGACAGGTGCAACTGTAACCTGCATGTTGGAAGATGAACGTGGCACCTGAGCCTTCTGTGACTGCTGCCTCTTACATCAGTCGCACCTGTCCTCTCTCCCCTCCCCTCCTTCCTTTTCTCCCCATCCACTTGCTCTTTTCCTTCCTTCATCTCTACGGAAGCCTTAAGCCTACCAGAGACACTTCAACCGAATGAGGCATCTGATCCCTATTAATGAGAATAAAAATAGCTCTTACATAACCTTGAGAACATAATGAATTTCAAAACACCTTACATGTGAGTTTAATAAGGCTATTAGCAGCAAATTCTTAGAAAGCTTTCCATGAATGTTCTCTGCCCCTTTTGTATATGTGCAACTAGTTCGAGCCGGCCTGAGCTCTGCATGCCTAGTTCACTTAACACCTGAACTCAAGTCAAGTGGAAGTAAACCAGAGGTTCGGGGACGAAGGTCAACTACCTCTGTTGAGAAGCGACAGTGAAGGCTTCTATGGTGGGGAAGACCCTTTGTGGTCTAATCTACATCTTCCCCTTTCCTCAGACTCAGCTCAAATAGCACCTCTGCTGTGGTGCCCACCCCCCTCCCCCACTGCCTCAGAACTGTTAGGAGCTATTCCCATCTCTCCCTTCAGCCCTTAATTATAATCTGTTTTATGTTATTACTTAGTGTGCCACGCTTGGGATTATTTCAAGGTAGACTTAAGCTCCTTAACAGTAGGACATAGGACTCCGACATTTCTAAATCCTCCAGAAGAGCTGCCACAGCAAACAATGACCGAATGTGGTCAGTTGCCGACAACATGAGCCAGCCTTCCCTGGACTCTGGAGAGTGATTATCCTCGCCGCCCAAGTGGCTTTCACTGCTCCCATCAGCTCCGTTATTTCTCATTTTTCATCCTTCCACCCCTTGCCCATTGCTAGCTCCTGAGGTGATCTGCAGAAAAAGCACTGTCCAAAATGCAGGAGGCACAGAATGTCAAAGCATCATTTGTTTCGCCTTAGACTGAAGGCCAGAGGAGAGCAACAGCAGCCCCCTCCAGGAGGAGTTACATCTGACCCACAGGACCCAAGGCTCCAGGCAGGTTCCACCCAAGAGGCGCTGGCCAAGCTCCCCTGTCTGTATTTGCATCTGGCCTCTCCTGCTTAGACAAATTACAGTGTTTGGGTTCTTGTTTTCATTTTTAATTCACTGCACATGGATTTTACTGCTGCATTGTTCCCTTTGACGGGGTCATTTATTTTACCTATTGTAATATTTTACCTGTCTTTATTGTCTGCAATGACTAAAAGGAGGCAGGTGAAGGAGATGTTTTTTTTTTTTTTTCAGGGTACTTGCCCCTCCCCACACACCCGACAGAGAGGTCAGCTGGTGTGTGCCTGTGTTTGAGCCCCACTGCATGGTATCAAGGGTGGGGTCTTCATGCCAAGACATGGTTCCCTGGCCTGTAAAATCAGCTTCATCGGGAAAAGCTGACAGTGCCCACCTGCCCTCAGACATGGTTCAGGGAAACTCAGCTAAGCAGCAGGCAGAGGCTGACAGTGGCTCTGGGATTGTAACAGCCACTCAGGATGCCTAAGGAACTTCGACTCTTCTACAAGAGGAAACAAGGCAAGTAATAGATAACTCATAACAAACTGAATTGTATGGCGTTGGCGTTCGAACATGTGATGTTCACAAGGTTCAAGTCTTCCAAGCCACTGTATTATGTAAAAGGAAGAAAAACTATTTTACCAGGGGATTGTTGTTGTTTGGAACAGATTTTCCGGAAAAAGTCAGGGTACCTGAGCACCTCCATAAAAATCCTTGACAGAGGCATGGTGGAAAGGTCATGGTGAAATCATTCTGCCAGGGCGAATATATCAGACTCTCTAACTGCAACAGCACCATCCTAGCCACCAACTGCTACCAAATGTTAGCTCACTTTTATTCATGAGTTAACTTTTACATGAAATCAAGGGGAAGGTCAATGATCCCACTCTGTCCCCAACCCCGGGGGGAGGAAGGAGAGAAGGTCTAGGACTAGAGGCTATCACTCAGTGCAAGGAGCTAAGTGAGAACAGAAAGGCTGGGGGCCAAAGCGCCAGAGCATGCAGCAGCATGTGCTCACACATGGCGGGAAGTGGAGCGCCTGCAGTCCTACAGTGTGGCAAGCAAAGGGCAAAGAAACAAAACTGCACTGGAAAAAATAATAGCAATTATAATAGAAATAGCGAAGACATTGAGAAAAATAAATGTCCAGGATTGCGTCTAACGGGAGGAGGCAAAGAAGAGCCATGGCCACTACAGCCTGAGGAGTCAGAGGGCTCAGTCTCCCACTGGGACCTTCCTTCTGCCAGAGAACTGCCGAGGGACTCTCAGGCCCGTGCTAGCGCTGACCCTGCTCTGGCCACACTGAGTGTGAGCGCCTACTTCCATTCTGTGCCAAGTGCCTCACTCAGCTCTCCCTAGTCCCAGCCCAGCAGGGGGGAGCAGTCTTGAAAATAAGCAGATTTGCAAGCATGTCAGTGGTCCACGGGAGTCTCTGTACAATGATGAGAAGGAATCTGATGCAAGCTGGCTTGACGACTGACCAGAGCATCAGGCCACGGCCATTGCCAGGGCCCGCTCCAGCATTTCTTTTTCCTTTTCCTTACAGTTGGGGTTTCCTTTGATGTAGGAGTGGACAGACTATGCAAGAAGTTAGCGTAGATGGGTAGATAAGAAAAAAAAGGCTACTGAAAAACTGTTCTGGTAGATATCTAGGTTTTTCTCAAGCTACCATTTTTTACAGAAAAGGACCCAAGCATCACTGCTGTGCTCCTGGTGCGTGTGCTAAGTGTCAGTACACAGACATCTATCTGCAAGCACAGCCAGCCTTAAGCAAATCAAAGCTGACATGTGCACCTACCTCCTCCGCCAGAGCGAGCAACAGACAAGGGGCACACAGGCCAGGACGATCATGGTGAGCATGCCGAGCACAAATATCCGGAGCATCCGCGTAGTCTCTGTGGGTTTCATTACATCCTGTTACTTTCATGGCTTAAGCGAGAGAAGCAAATCTGAACTCTTTCATAAAGTCCTCATTAAAAAAAAAAAATCAGTTAACAGTAGAGTAAAATACAGGCTTCTTATATAACAGGTAAATATCCTGGCTGTTCTCTAAGTAGCAGAAGCTTATGAAATGCTGTCAAAATACAACTAAAGGCCACACTCTAAGTACCTGCCCCATCGAAGCCTTAACAAAACGCTCCTGGTTTGGATAGCGGCTTTTGTGTTTCACACTATAGGTTTCTTTCCACCACCCGAGTGTGCTTTTCCTTGGCCATATGTTACATCCTAGAGCACTTGAGGAGTGAATTAATCTATGAATACTTAAATTGATAAAGGAATGGTTCCTTACATGTTTACTTTCAAATTGTAAAATATTAAATTAAACAGGAAATCAAGAATTTTCAGGTGAATATGCATATTTTATTCTTACACTCATTCGGAAATGCATTCTAATGTGACTGGGGAATTGTAAGTCACGGTTCAATTTTTTCCTCTACAAAAAAGCAAATGTCTCTTTACACATAATATGAAGACTAAACTGATGAATGAATTATAAACAGCATGTGACAGTGTTAAAATTGTAATAGTATATTCATGATCAGGTTTCAGTTGCCGTTATTAATACTAGATGATCAGCAAAGGGCCACGACTGAATAGCAAGTATGTTAACCTAAGACACTGTTTGTGAATGTATCCTTCTTGTAGTATTTGTTAGTGTTTCATCCCATCAAATATATCTATCATGGGACCAACAGCTAATAAGTCTCCAGTAACCATGAAAGCACAAAAACAGATGGTCTGGTTCTCAAAATTTTGTAAAGAAAAAAAAATCTTAAGAGAAGAGCCTAATTTTAAAATAACAGAACAAAAAGAAACTAATAAACAGAGCTTAACAGGAAACATGCTGTTATATACTGAGATGTCCACAAGATAAATGGGAAGAACTCTACTCAAAGAGAGGGTGGCAGGAGAAAGTTCTGCTCTGTCTAGCGAGTTGCTTCTCCCAGGACTGAGAGCTACAAGACAGGAAGTATGAAAGCAAAAAACCATGTGAGATGAAACTGAACTGTCCATCATATCTAAAGGCTAAGCAGAAACTACTCTGAAAAGAGGCCTGACCTCTCAGGACTTTCAAAGGACAGCATTGCCCAGGGCTGGCACCCCCTTTCAGTGCTAACCTGAAAGGTGCAAATGTAAACTTATGCCATGTAACCTGTTAATTCAATTGAAAAAAAAAATAGAAATGTAGTCAGTGTAAGAGGATGAACTTACTATCTTCTAACGGGGTGAAACAGTTGAAATTACTGGTCCTGTGTGATGAATAACAGCATTTGAGTTTCAAACATTCACTCTGGTTAAGATCTGTCAGCCCTGTGCAAGTCTCTACCACCTGGTCTTCCTTTGGAATGCATGCTTTTAGAAACAAAATCCAAGAAAGATAATTTAGCATGGTTAATAAGCACCTTCCCTAATTAAATAACTACTGCAAGGCAAAAACAAGTCAAAAAATAAACATTGAAGATGGCACATTTAAAAAAGAAATTGAATGACATATATAGAAAAATAAAGAGTTAAACCAACAATTACCACATAGTTAGTTTAACAGCATATCTTCAGTTCTAGATGAACTGGAAAAAAAATCTAGATTCTTAACAACCAATGGTAAGGTCATTTTTAAAGGGCTGCAGATCATCACTTGAGTGGTGGTGCCATAACAGAGAAGGTGGTTGAACAAATACCTTTAAAACTAACACTTTGTTGAAATAATACCACAGAGAGCTCTTCATTCGATTTCACTAAGCTACTCACTGACTGCATCGGTGACAGTGAACGCAAGGCAAATTCACACAGTTCAATGCTGGGGCGTGAGGGGAAATGATACTATTGGTATTGACCTACTTCCTGTGAACACCCATCACATGGACATCACAAAATGCTTTAAGATTCTGCCTCCTGGATCTGAAGTTAGCATTCTGTCATTTTGAATAGGCCACGGTCTGTGGCATAAACACCAAGAATCACAGAACTTCAATAAATCCACACATGTTTAAACCTGTAAACTCACATGCTTGAAAAGCTGATTTGTTTAAACATCCTGCTTCACAAGAGAATCAAATGACAATGGAAAAGGAAGATGGCAGATTTTCATTCAAAAAGAAAATCTCCACAGTATGGCTAACAGTGAGCATGGATGCAGTTCCATTTCCAACACGTCAGCAGCAGATTTAGAAAAGTACTAACTGATGTCTTATGGCCACTCTTAAGCATTTCAACTTCAGCAAAGAATAACATAATGACTAGAAGGCTATTTTTGATGGTCCATTTCATTATACTCCCTTCTAAAGGTTGGCAATTTCTAAAGCAAAGGTGAAAGTAGTAACAGCTGCCTCCTGGGGGCAGGCAGCACACTTTCCACACATTATTACTAATCTGCACAAGTCTGGAAATGAGCTTTTCATCCTCCACTTTAACAGGAAAGAAATACAGATTCAAAGTCACTTGTGCAAGGTCACAAATGAAGGCATTACCAGATGGCCTGGACATTCACTCCCCGAACATGTGAGAGCTTAGCCTAGTCTGGAGTTATGTATGCTAAGCAATCTGTTCTGCAATGTTGCCAGGCCCAGCGTGACTCTCCACAGGTCGAGCTACATCTGGAATGCCATGCTCAGCGGGGGCCTCACACACCCAGAAAAGGGTGACAGTAATCAGGGCCTGGTGAAAAATGGGCTGAATTTCCTGCATTCTGTGCACGTCACAACAGACATTGTTCAAAGACCACTTTCCAGAAAGGAAAATCATAGAAGAGATCGTAAATCATAGGAAAGGCTGGACCAGATGACCTCGAGGGTCCCTTCTATTGCCAAGCTTCTGTTGTTTTCTACTTAAAACCTCATCTGATGGGCTTGATGCTAGATACTGAGATTAACTTTCAGACTCAAATTACTAAGACATACTTGTAAGTCTGAAGAATAAAAGGAGTAAAACAACTTTAATCATGTTTAAGTATCTAATTTTGTCCAAAAGGAGAAGCATCACGTCACTGCCCAAGCTTCCTTGATGCTGGTTATCATTTTATCTGCAAGAGATGAATCTTAGACAAACAAAAGCCTAATGAAAAAATGAGACTTCTTTTTAGTGCCTCCATGGAGAGTGTTAATTTTCAATTGTACAGAAGAAATAAGTTGATTAAAACTATTTTACATCTCATGAACTTGTAGTTATTCTTTTCAAAGGAGATAGTATATATATATATACACACACACACACACACACACACATATATACATACACATATATATATATTATAAATATTTAATCACAATTTTGCAGGATTTAATCAACCTAGCTCAGATGTTTCTCTTAAAATGGAACAGTTAGAATTTGTGGCAGAAATGTTATCTCATACAATTAATTTTGACTCGACTGACTATACCAGGTTGGAGGGGCATTTGGAAATACAGGTGTTCTGTAGATTTTTTTTTAAGAGAGGGGAAGGCTTTATTATGCTCCTGGGGGAGGTCCGCAGGCCCAGTGGGGGCCTGAGAAGTTGCACCCAGTGTATAGGCTAGGGGTCTTTTATATGTTCTTTAGAATATTTTTAAAGGTGGCTTCAGGGTAAGTACAATGCAGTTATCCTAGGTAGTTCTGAGACAGTCTTTATATCTTCTACCTTCATAAACTAAAATTTAAACCATCATTTGCTGTTCATGACCAAGTGTGGCTTCACTAAGCCCTTCTTCAGCTTTGCAACCTGCCACTTTCTCCACTCATTGGGACCACAGTAGTTTTTTAATTTACTGGAAGAGATTGTATATTTTGTTATTCTCATTGGTAGTAGGTGTTATAATGCCTGTTTTGAACTTGATGAAACCAGTTTAGAGAAATGGGAAGAGATTTATGCAAGGTCACAGAAGAACTCACTGGCAGAGTCTAGAATTAAACAATGGAAATAATTGTGTCTTCATATATGTACATTGCATTTTGTTAGAATAAATTCTGCATGATTTTTAATAAAAGCTTCACCTTTGTAATTCACATTTGTCAATTTATTTCAAGCTTCTCCTTGAAAGGGCACCACATGCTGTACAAAATGAAACGTGTTTATTTGTGGTTAATAATTCTCAGGAGTCATCATGAACTGGATAAACATATACAGACTCACAAAAAGATGATGTGACTTGAAACCTGAACTTTTTATCATTAAAACAGATGGGAAAACATCTGGTATACCAGTCCCACAATAGCCTGATTAATGCCACAGAGGACATAGATTTCATAACACTGAGTCAGTGGCTCTGCTTCAGACAATTCCATTAAGGTAAGCAGTGAACAGTTTGGAGATTCATAAAGGAAAAATATTGTATAAAGAGTAACAAACATTGATGTATGGAATGCCTTACAAATATCAATATTGTAGCCTTACAAATATCAATATTGTAGCAGTTCATCCTAGCGGTTCATCCTCACAACTCTTTGTAGTCGGTCTCTTTATTTTACAGACACAGAAACTTAAGTTCAGAGAGGTTGTCTTGCTTAAGGGAAAGGGCAGACTCAAGTTGAAAACTCAGGTCTGTCCACGCCAAGTGCCAATAGACCACACTGCCTCTTAAACATTTAAACACTGTTTCAAAAAGAGGAAATCAGGAGGGAAAAAATCAAACGACTTACTAGTTGGGGAGAAAAAGCTTAGCACAGTTTTCCAGGTAGAGTGTTTGGGAGATTGTCCATTAGAGTTGTCATTGCTCCGTAGAAGATAATCGCTTGGTGTCAAAGAATACGGAAATCCTTAAGAAAAAGTAAAATAATTCAACATACAAAGTATTTATCACTTTCTATGACTCTTTAATAGTATTTTTTTGTTTAAGTTAATTATGGAAAAATCTAAGAGCTAACAGACATTGTACATTCATCTCATGACAGTTTTGGTACTACTAATAATCAGAATGTAATCCTGAAAGACTATATTTTAAATTTAAAAATGCTTAAGCTAGGGGCTAACAGAGCCCTGTGTTGCACAATAAACTGATTTACAGTAGTCAAGTTGCCCCTGAAAACAGCCTCAACGTTCAGAAGCCCAATCACTTATCAACTGGGAAACGATATGGATTCCAACTAAATCAGAAACTCTTGGCTTCTTCATTTACCGATAAAAATCATGGCCTTAGACACAATAAAACCTCTTGACCCTTCTTCACTGCTTCAAACAACCTGTTTTTAAGTGTATTTGTTTGAGTCTCTCCTATAGAAAGAAGGAAAGATATCCATCTCTGTCCCCAGAGCATGGATTCATCCACACTATTAAATATTTGCCAACACTATCTTCAATAACTTCACAGCACAGCATGAGACAGCTCTATAGTAACTGAGTTAACTATTTTTCCATACACAGGTATTTGTTTATAATTTATTAATAATATAAAGAACACTGTAATAGTTGTCACTGGAGCTACAGATTTGCAGATATTCATGAAGAAGTTCTGAGGATAAATCCTTAAGGCCCAGCTCTCGGCCACAGCCACGTGACCCCCCAAAAGGCCACACCGGGTGCAGCCTACTAGCAGTGCAGGGAAGGGCCAGTTTTCCTGCAGCCTCACATTTCTGTTGTTTGCCAACTTGATGGTCAAAATAATGGTATCTCTCTGGTTTGCATTTGCACTTCTGTGATCAGTGAGCTTACATCTTCTGTATACTTGCTGCATAACAGAAACTTAGCCTTTAACCTGTCATGCCTGTTGCAAGTATTTTTCAAGGTAGTCGGCTACCTGTAAGTTTTGTATGATTTGGGAATTCTAAAGTTTGAAATGTTTTATGTAATGAAACCTATCAGTTTCTTCCTTTACTATTTCTGTCTTTCAGCTAGTAATCTTTGCTACTGATTTTATATTCTAATATTTCCTCTAACACTCCCAGGGTACCACTGTTTAAATGTAAAATCACCTGGAATATATTTTGTAGTATGTTACGAAGTAGAATTATATTTTTTCAATGTCCTAATCCCATTTATTCAGTTCAGCCTTTCCTGCTTGTGACACCATCATCATATTCTAAGTTTTCATATAAGCCTAGGTTCTTTTCTGGACTTTCTGTTCTGTTCCACTAATCTATCTGTTCATGCACCAATGTCACTGTTCCAATTTATCTTATATTGTTGCATGTTTTACAACTGGTATGACAGTCCTTCATTAGCCTTCATTATCAAAATTTCATTCTCAACTCTGAAAAACTTGGAGGTGAACCTTAGAATCATCTGTCAAGTTAAAAAAAAAAAAAAGCCCAGGCCCTCCCTGGTGGCGCAGTGGATTAAAGCACAGCACTGAGAAGCTAAAGCCACTTCCGCATGAGGTCGATCCCCACCTGCCCCGGAGGTGACCACATGGCGTCGCAGACCTCTCCTGACCCGCCCGCTGCTCCCCTCAGCAGTGTACTTCATCGATCTGCCTGTTCTGCTCCCCACTCTGTCCCTGATGAAGCCTCTCACCGCCCCTGAGCCTCTGGCCTGTACCCCAGTTCTGTATGTACAAATAAAATCTTAAAAAAAATCTAAAAAAAAAAAAAGCCCAGTAATATTTTTGTTGTAGTGATATTCACTTATTTAACATTCATTCAAAAAATAGGAATTGTGTGTCTCATAGGCTGGGCCTGGATTCAGTTAAATGTAGACTCACTTGAAGAGAAGTGACAACTGCACAAATTTTCTCACTCAAGAGTGGTTTGTTTACCCACACGTGTACTTCTCTTTTCATGTCCCCAGTAAGAGCTGGAGCTGTGGTCAGACAGGCCCTCCACCTTTCTTATGTTTCTGGCCATATGAGAGAAACATATGGGTGGGGGCGCAGCCCCGAGACATTTGCCAGCTGATCACTGCTGGCATGTAAGAAAGCTGTTTGATTCTGCTTCAAATACTTTCTAACTTCCTACCTTAGTTGGCTCCTCGACTGTCATTATTCACTTTCATTTCAAATCTAGATAGTCACACTGTCAGTAAATACAGATGTGCCCCCAGTATCAACCAACAGCTTCTTTTTCTTCTCTCATTGCACTGCCTAGAACTTCTGGACCTAGATTGAATATTAGCTGTGGTAATGGGCATTCTAGAGTGAATCCTGACTTTAACAGGAATGTACTTACATTCCATCATTACGTGTAACATTAGTTGCTGACTGAAGATAGTTTTTTTTTTAATTTTTATTAAATTAAAGATGTATTCCTCTAGTCCAATTAGCTACAAATGTTTTGTTGTTATTTTGTTTCATTTTTTAATCAAGAATGGGAAGTGGGATTCAAACAAATGCTTTTATATTTATTTATTGCCATGATCATATCCCTGCCTATCACTTTTTAAAACTTAATATATTTTCAAATATTAAATATTCTTGCATTCCTTAAAGGCCACAAGTGCTAATGTTTTATGTTATTTATGGAGCAACATTCCTAAGTAAAGTGTGTGTGTAATTTTCTTAATAATAACTCTCTAGGTTTGAGCATGAGAATTATACCTGTTTCTTAAAATAATCTTGAAGGTGTCTCATCCTTTTATCTATCTTGAAGCAGCTTAAGTAGCATAAGAAATATTCCATTATTAAGTTTGGGAAAACTCTACAAATAGTCTGAGTCTGTATTTTTTTGTGGAGGGGGTAATTCCTTTACAACTTTCTACTTCTCCGTGGTCATGGGTCAGTTTTGATCATTTTTATTTTCTAGGAAAATATTCACAAGATAATTAACAATTAGGACAGAATCATAATAGAACTCACTAAAACTTTTACATTTCCTTTTTATAAATAATAACATCTTGTTTCTCATTTTAATGAGAATGATTTCCATATATATGGAAGGTGTGTATCTCAGCCTGCAGGGTACAATTCTGAAAGTTAAATCATGCTGAGTTATATTATTCAAATGTGTAATATCTGTATTTTTTGTCAAGGACTGAAAGGTATGTGTTACAGTCTCACACCAGGATTGTGCTTTTTTCAAAATCAATTGTTTTATATATTTCAACTGTATGAATAAATGTCCATTCACAACAGTTTTATCTTTACTGTATATTAGATATGTTGACAATATTAAAAAAAATCTTGTCCTGTTGTTTTCTCCTAATTCCTACTCATTCAATAAATAAATAATGTCTACTGTATTCTAACTTTGGGGGTATATCAGTGAGCAGATCAGATAAAATCCCTGCCCTCATGGAACTCACAATATAGCAGAGAGGACAGATAAGAAAGAATTAAAAAAAGAAAGAAAGAAAGAAAGAAAGAAAGAAGTAAACTCAAAAATTAAGTAATTGTAATGAGTGCTCTGAAGAAAGGCGAAACCAACCCAGTACAAGTTCAGGGACCTGCACTGGACTCTGAGATGACAGGACATTTATGCTAAACACAACAAGAAAAAGACCAGTCGAAACAGCCAGCCACACGAAGGGCACGCCACGAGAGGAGATCGCCAGGCACACCTGGCCAGGTCAGAGGACTCGCAGCCCAACAGAGGCAGGAGAGAGGCTGCAACCTGGCAGCACTAAACGTGCCACTACTGTTTGCTTGCCCAGAAGCCCCCACCTAACTGAACTGGCAGCCACTTGAGTCAGCAAACCCTCAAAGGAAGTGCTAGCTGGCAGTGGCCACTGAAGCCTCGATGGCCCCACAGGGTCTCTGCAGGTGGGGTGCTCTCTGGAGTCCTTCCAGAATAGAGCCGGATCCCCAACTCTGAGTATCCCCGCCCTCAAAGACAGTCTTGGCCTTGGCCTGGCAAGAGTGGGTTGCTGCATATCCTCTCAGCAGCGGCTATCCTGGCTTCCTTCTGCCTCTCAGAAACCCCTCAAAATTCCCAGCATGTCGGTGGCAGCTGGCATCCTGTGGGCTCTCCAGGTTCTAGCCCATCCTAGATCTTTTGGTAACTTCAGTGGGCAACGGAGACAGAGGAGGCAACAACATTTTGACTCAAGTGGCACCATCAGTGGCAGCCTGACCAATAAGTCTCCAGTGTGTGTAACTGGCCTTCACCACTGGCTTCTTCTGCCAGCCTCTGAAAGGTAGCAGCTTGTCGGTTAACTTCAGCAGCATTTCCCAGTTTGGTGTAAATATCACCAGCATTACCGAGGCAGTTTCAGGTGGACCATCGTTGAATGCTGTGGGTGTTTTTTAATCTGTGCTATTTTACATTTGTTGAAAAGTGCAGAAAAAAATATATGACTAACATGTCAAAGCCACTATGACACTAAGCACAGTTACTATCACCTTGCAGGACTCTTGATAAACTTCCTGTCAACATTCCTGTTCTTCCCTCCCTAGAAACAACTGGTCCCCTGTCCCCTCTTCTCTACAAAGCCTCCCACGGGCTGTGCCCTAGTCTTCCCCAATCTTCCTCTAAGCCCGGGTAGGCACCAGCAGCTTTCCCTTCCCCCATCACATTTCATATGCAGAATAATTCCATCCTCTAAGCCTCTAATTTGCATCTGTACACTCATTAATATGCTCTGCAAACAAAAGATTAGGAGCCACCTTCCTTAAATGGCATCAAGAAGTAGTAAAGAACCAATTATGTTTCCTTGCCACAAAGAATTTTTAATTTCTCTGTTACAAAAAAACAGACTGAAAATCTAAATACATTTTTAAAAGGGGGAAGAAAGACTCAAAGCAGGGGGTTTTGTGTGCCTGTGATATGTGAGAAATGGTAGAGTCCAGCTCTCAGAAGGATCCATGTTTGGGTGAACCTTCTGCTATTATCTTGAAAATTCATAATTCCTAAGCAAGGGACCTGGAGTTTTTGTTTTGCAAATTATGTGG